GGGAGAGAGATAGAGAGTTAGAAACATCAATGAGAGAGAGTCATCGATCAGCTGCCTCCCGCACACCCCCTACTGGAGATGTGCCCGCAACCAAGGTACGTGCCCTTGACCGGAATCGAACCCGGGTCCCTTCAGTCCCCAAGCCGACGCTCTATCCATTGAGCCAAACCGGTCCCGGCTACCTCCTACATTTTAAGAGTGCTACAAATCAATTTTAGTGCTACAGATATTTTAGATGTTGTAACACATCTAAAATATCTGTAGGAAAAATGTTCTTAGTGTGGTAAAATGCCATCCTAATGCCCATTTTCTTTAAACATTGGGATCCATTTTTATAGGCTAAAGTATAATGAGCTAACAATATAGAGAAAATTAAATATACAACTTTGCCTTCATTCTCATAACTAATGCATACTAATCAGTAATCATTACTAATCATTTCTGAAAAACCAGGAGTCCAGCTCAAGTCTCCAAGGCTTCAGTAAGACACAACTAATTTTGATATATTTCTGGATTCCAAGAAAATGAGTAATAACAAAACTTGTTCACTTAAAACTTTATTAACCTAAGACTCCTAATTTTTAATATCTATGCCAATTAATTTAAATTAGACCCTTGACATTCAGATTTAAAAATAAGTTTCAACTATTTGAGAAACCTAAATATATATATAGCAGATAATACTCTAAAATTTTGTTAATATATCAGTGTCCACTACTCAAAAGACTATACAATCCCATGACAATGAAGTTTATTTCTCCATTTGCCTTCCCTATCTAGTGACTTCATGAATTGAGGTAAGTCTATACTTCTCTTTATGAATATAAAAGGAATACATTTTGTATGGAAACAAAAAGTATATCCCAATCTAGTTGAAGCCCAAAAAGAGCAATTATGTAATTTTTTTAAAAAGTTAAATATGTCCCTAATAAATAAGACAGCATACTTTTATATAGAGAACAGGTATGTAACATTAAAATTACCTAGTGATATGAAACATACAAGAGTTATTTCCCTAACAGAGTTTTAAAAGGATAATTTGCCATTTGTATTAGATAAATCTTGTCTCATATACACATTCTGTGAAAATGCTTTTGTTTAAAGTTGACAGAATGGCCCATTTTTAAATTTTCAAATATATTATAAAAGGGGCATTGTAAGAATACCAAATCTTACTCAAAGACAAACTTAAAAAAAAACCAACTTTTTAGTTACTGAGTGCTACGTTTTTAGAAAGAAAAGTAATGCTGATTCTCCATTATACTACTAAGAGCGGCCAGGTGCATGATTCAGCCCCACCTGCACCCTCTCCAATCTGGGACCCCTCAAGGGATGTCCGACTGCCTGGATCAGGCCTAAACGGGCAGTCCAACATCCCTCTCACAATCCAAGACTGCTGGCTCCCAACTGCTGGCCTGCCTTCCTTCCTGATTGCCCAGAACCACTTCTGCCTGCCAACCTGATCACCCCTTAACCACTCCCCTGTCAGCCTATTTGATGCCTAACTGCTCCCCTGCCACCCTGATTGCCCCTAACTGCCCTCCCCTGTAGGCTTGATCCCCCAACTGCCCTCCCTTGCAGGGCTGGTCCCTCCTAACTGCCCTCCCCTGCTAGCCATCTTGTGTCCAGATGGGGGCAGCCATCTTGTGTTAGTGACAGTCAATTTGCATATTACTATTTTATTATATAGGACTAGAGGCCTGATGCATTAAAATTCATGCAAGAATGGGCCTTCCTTCCCCTGGCTGCTGGCACTGCCTTCGCTCTGGCTGGAGCCCTTTCCCCTCAGGCCCAGAGCTGCCTTTCTGCCTTCCCACAGGCCCAGTGTGACGGGTGGTGTGGAACGCTTGGATCATCACAAGTGTCCCACCAGGCCCCGGCTGCTTAGCACCTACATATGCAAATTACCCTCCATGTTTTTAATTTGCATACTCACTCCTGATTGGCTGGTGGGTATCAAGAAGGTATAGTAATTAGCATATTACTCTTTTATTAGATGAGTTCAGTGTTATTACAGGAATAAAAGGGCTAACCTGGACATCTGAAGCCCTGCAAAAAAGCCACACCCTACCAATAATTTTCCTAAGAGATTAATTGGTATTCTAAAATCTAGAAATTGGCCATATAAATCAGTTGCATAAAACAGACAGATATAATCTCAAAATCAGGTAAACAAACAGCTATTACCACTGAAGACATTTTTATTGGCATATGACAATTTACAAGAATCCCTGTTGCATTATACATCACACTGAGTAAGAATCGTTGAGCCATCTACATTCATTCTTATTAAGTAATATTTTCGTCTCAAATTATAATTCCCAACACTTGATTTTGATGGTGACAAAAGGAAACGATAGTAATTCCTTAGTGTAGGCTGTAATTGGAAAAACCTATTTTGCTTTTTATATTAAAATTCTAAGATTTTGAAAGGTATACACATCTAAAGACTGAGTCATGGCCTTTCTTAAACAGCTATCTGTTCTGGAAATATCCTTTGGTTGGTTTTTATTTTCCATCTCTGGGCAAAAGGAAATGTTAATGCAGATAGTCATTCTTTTTCTGGCACTTGTAAACAAATATCCTTACCAAGAGAAACCAATAACTTCTATAACATCAGGAAATGTGGAATTACATTGTGGTTTTAAAATACACACAGCTCTGGCTGATGTGGCTCTGTTGTTTGGAGTGTTGTCTGTACACCACAAGGTGGCAGGTTCAATTTGCTTTCAGGGCACATACCCAGCAGGTTCAATTCCTTGGTCAGGGTACAAGCAGAAGGCAACTAACTGATCAATGTTGCTCTCCCCCCGCCTCCCACCCCCACCCCACTCCCACCCCTTTCTTCTCTAAATCAATTTAAAATAAAAATACACAAACTACGTTTTATATGCTTGACTTTTTTAGAAAAAGACAACATTCACAATCATCCTTCCTACTATATTCTGGTAGCATGCTCTTTCCTCAATTTTAATTGAATAAAGTAATGGACTCCTAAACATATCTGGATTAAAGCAATGCTTAAAATAAAACTTGATAGGACTTAAGTAGCTTTATTCCCAACTCCCTAGTAAATTCTTAGCAATTTCTGTCTTCAGTGCAAAAAAAACAAAAACAAAACTGCACATTTAAGGCCATGCATAAGATTTAGTATTTAACAAAATAACTGTTAAAATAAAAGCTAAATTTATTTGTATAAAATAAAATGCTTGTGAAAACCATTCTCCTGTGTTTGAAATCAAACCCACGTTGCTTAGCAAGTAATTATTCTAACTGGAAGGGTATTAGTTATGTCTGATCAATCCAACACATATACTTGCTTTGACAGTATTCCTCTACTCTAGCAATTTCAGAAGACAAAACTAACAGGAGAAATCAGGCAATATTAAAGATCTTAGGGCCATAAAAATCGCATATTAAGGTTTGGTTTCCAACCCTCCCCCTACCCCTCCTCTCAACACACCCAATAGCTCTTAGCAAATTTAAATTACCCTGGCTGCAATCAAGGTGCTAGAAGGATTGCAAATCATAAAATGAGAATGAAAGGGTTATATACTTAAGATCTTTAAAAGATTACATTAGCAGAATAAGCATCATCTCCTTTTAATGCAAACATATACAACTAATTCAATTGCTAACTTAATGAAATTTGACTACTTTTATATATGCTCATAAAGCAGACATACTTAACATTGAAATTTACTATTTCGGATTTTCATTCCTTTAAGAGCAATCAGCATAAGCATAAAGGTAATTCACATTTTCAAGATTATCTACCTAAAAAATAGAACCCTAGGAAAGAAAAAAAAAAAAAAAAGGCCATTTTACAAACTGCTGAAAATAGGGGGCAAAAAAAAATAAAAACAAGTTAGATCAATGCTGCAACAAACTTCCTGTCAAAACTTTTATTGTTGACATTTGAAAAACAAGTTACTAAAAATACAACTAATGAACAGTACGTTGTTTGCCAATTTTTTCTTATGGTTAGACTATAAGCTAATATTTCAACTGTCCAAAAGCTCAAATAAATATGTAAGATAGCAAATCAGATACATCTTTATTTTGCAGGATATAATCCTCTTCCATACCACAACATCACAATTACAGGTTTTGTATTCTTAAAAATAAAATGTTTAGTAGGAATGGGGTTTTTCTTTGCTGTGTTTATTACAAAACAGTTCCCTCTCTCAAAGAATACTAGCTGCTATCTAAGACCATGACTCATACTTTCAAATAAAAATTGAATACTGAATTTTGAATCCAAATAGTAATGGCTCTTAAGTGTGGTTTTTATAGGCCACTGCTTGCTCTCAGAAAAAAAAGAAAAAACAAAAACAAAAAAAAAACACAAACACACCAATAAACTAATACTTTGTGATCTAACTTTTATGAGCTTGTATTTCTTAGTTCTTGGCAAAGCTGTTTTTCTTCTCAAACATTTGCTGAAGTGTTAAACTAGCTTAAGTTTACCAAAGTAACAACTTTTTTCTGGGGTCCATTTCAAAAATTAATCACCCTACAATGTAGTGTCTTTGAATTAAGGAAAATGTTAAAACAGATGTATACAGTTAAAATAACTAGGTGTGGTCTCTATAAACTTCTGTTCATAAACCTGTATGTAGAGCTAACGTTTACTTCAGCATAAACATTAACAGGGAGGGAAGAGAATCAGATCTTTCACAGAGCTGTACTTGACCATATCTTATAGACAAAGCAGAATTACAATGCATGTAACAAAAACAGTAAAAGTATTATTTTTAAAAGTTGATAGTTACAAATAGGGTACATTAACAATTTTCTACTTTATTTCAGTACAATTTTCAACATACAGTCTACTGTTTTTCAAGATATTCGAAGACTTAAAACAAAACTTCTATAGACTACTTGCAAACAGTAAAATTTAAGTAAAATGCTTACATTCTTATTTGAAAACAAAAATCATGTAAAAAAAAATGGTGGGTGCAAGTTCTGTTCTCTGTTGCAATCTCATGTCAGGTTTATTATTCCTAAAAAGAGAGAGAAGATAAAGATTAGCAAAGATATAGAGTATGAAAATGAACTATAAAGTCATTGTTCCTAAGAATTAACTGGCCCACCAAACCCACAAATCTGTTAAAGTCACTAACAGCTTGTAATTTTCTACCTTTTCTTCTTTACGCCTGTCCTTCTTTTCTTCATTATTTTCTATGGTCTCTTCTTCATCTTCAACAATCCCGTCCCCTTGGTATTTGTCATGAGTCCATTTTGGACTGCTACCTGACTTTTTGAAGTTAAAGCGCCCTCTGCCACGTTGAAAAGTACCACGACCTCTTCCTCTTTTGGCCCAATAATCGACACCATCATCTCTGTCATCATGCTACAGGAAAGGTAAAAATGATCATCACCGAAATGTCTTTCTTATAAGGAAAATTATTATACCCAGAAATCTTAAGTCATGGAATAAACTCCTGATTTGGTTTATTTTTACTGTTACCAAGTAAAAACAGAGAAATTGAGTAACTTGCCCAAGGCCACAGCAGACCTTTGCACTACACTGTACCATATCACCTACAGAATACATTTCCCAGTAATCTTGGTAACATAATTACATTTTACTGCTTAGTTAACCCAAGCATTGAGAGCTGCCCAGACAATTTTTTTGGAGAATCTCAACTGCTAAATTACTGCCAAATTTCAGGCTGTTTATTTTTCCTTCCCTTTATTTCAATCTAAGTCCACTTGTTACTATTTATATTGCATGTAAATGAGACCAATATTTTTCCAAAGACTTTACATGAGTCATAAAGATGTATAAGTTATAAAAATATCAGTACAATATCAACATTAAACAGGTGGTATGAATTATACTTTACATATAGAAAACAGATTTTAAATCTGAGATTTAAATCTAAATCTATGTATATTACATATCAAACTTCAGGGCTAGGTCATCTCAAATCATGATGGCATAGTCTCTAGAGAAATACCTCAACTTATTTCTCTTTCACCAACCTGAAGTACTTGAAGCTATTATATCCCAATCTTAATTTTTCATTAACTGCTTCCAAATAGAGATTCACAAATTTATTATTCCATTAATCAAAACATTCTGCAAAACTATAAAGTATCTGACTTTGTGGACAAGTCGATGAGTATTATATCCCAAAGTTTTCCTGTAATATAACTTAATTAACTGCTATCCCCATACACATAAGGTAAAATGATGCCACTGTAGGAGACAACAGGCATAAATGCAATGTTGCATAACCTATGGATTACTGATATTGATCAACTGCCCAATGTTGATCAATTATTATATATGATATGAGCACATTTTTCAAAACAGAATGTGCCTTTGTGCATATTCATTAATACAGGTCACCATCCTGCATGACTTGAAAAGCTCAATTACACATGCAATTAACAGACTACATAAAGGAACATTTACAATTCCTAATAATCTATCTTTACCAAACAAATGAAACATTACTAGCTAGAGGTGGGCAAGGCTCCATAAAAAACAAATTTAGCAACTATCAAAAGTATAAACTTCAATGCCATAGTTTAATTTGAAACTGGAAATAAATTATTTTAAAATAGTCTGCCATTCAAAATAATGCTCATGCAATTAGATAATTTCAGACTCCCTTTGGTATCAGCACACCCAACTCCAAAGTTGTTGTTTTTTGTTTGTGTATTTACACAGTATTCCATAAATTTGTGGGAAAGGCAAAAAGGTTTTGCCGTCAGAGGCATGAATTTGTATCTTAACAGAAACTGTGGCTTTTATTTCATTTTAAAAGAGAGAGAACCTTGAGGAAACACAGATAATCTGTAGTGTCCAGCCCAGTGTGTGACAAAAAAAAGGACTCAATCTACTGTGCTATAAATGTTTATAATGTTTACTATGGTAAGTCACTGTTTCTGATCACTTTCTATTTATTTACTCATCCAATCCTCACAACCACCCCACCAAATACTGTTACTAATATCACTTCAGATATGAAAAAACTGAGGCATAGAGGAATTGAGTAACTTGCCAAAGGCCACAGCATTAGACCTTTGCACTACCCTTACCACATCACCTACAGAATACATTTCCCAGTAATCTTGGTAACAGTGAACATTACCACACAAGGCAGCTAGGAGTATAAAACAGAAAAAGCAGCAGCAAAGCTAGACATGCGGTTAAACCAATCAGTGCTTTTAAATTTACAATAATTTGAAATTTAAAATTATTAAAAACAATAGCTAGAACATTACACTATATATTCTACTTCAGAAGTGACATTTTTATGCTAAGCATACTCATCCTCAAGTTCTAACACCCAAACTAACTCTTAATCCTCAAGTTTAATCTTACTACAACTTTTAAAAAAAGTTTCACAGCCTTGACTGGTTTGGTTCAGTGGATAGAGCGTCGACCTGTCGATTCCAGTCAAGGGCATGTATCTTGGTTGCGGGCACATCCCTGGTAGAAAGTGTGCAAGAGGCAGCTGATCGATGTTTCTCTCCCATTGATGTTTCTAACTCTACCCCTTTCCCTTCCTCTCTGTAAAAAAAAAAAAAAAAATCAATAAAATATATTTTAAAAAATAAAGTAAAATAAATAAAAATAAAAATAATTTCACAAATGATAAAAGGGCCAGAGAAGTCAGGTATGTGCAGTACACAATTAAAAATGTGATGCATGGAGGTCATATTACAACCAAGATCTTCTGAATCCCATTATCTCTTCTCCATAGAATAATTATCAAAAGGTTAAATTCATTAAAACTCCAATCTCAAACCCCTTTCCCACCAAGGATTTCCTCTTCCTCAGGATACAGCATCAACTCACCACCGAGAACTTGCCCACTGCAGCACTTTTCCATTTGCTCCAACTTCATATACTTGCCCTCCATAGAATTTCAGGTTCTAAGACTATTATATCTCCAGGAGTACTTATTATTGAAAATATCTCCATATCTGCATAAATCCAAGTTTTAAGATAGGAAATTTCAGAAAAGTATGCAACAAATATTACTATGACTCAGTACTGGAAGGACAATTCTGTGCTTGCAGAACCCCGGCTTTGGAGCCAATGAATGCCTGGCAAATTCTGACCGCACTTCTGCTAGCCATGTAATATTAACTTTGGTCAAGCTACTCAATTTCTGTGCCTCACTGTTTTTCACATGTAAAAGTGAAATGATGGCCCCACCTCAAAAAGATTTTATAAGCATGAAATAAACACAGAATTATGCCCAAAGTATCAATAATACTAAGCATTGTGTTTCATTAATATATATAAACCTTCCATGCTAGTAAATTATTTTAAGAGGGGAAGGTCTTATAGTTTTCAATCTCATTTCCTCAGAATTATATTTTTGTTTATACTCAACACTAGCTGTCTAAAAATATAGTTATCTTTACAAAAAATCTTTTAAATTTAAATAGCCATGTAAAAATGTCATTTACATGGCTATTTAAAAAATAGTCATTTCAATGGCTCATTAAGAACCAAAGTAGGCCCTGGCAGGTGTGACTAGTTGGCTGAGGATCTTTCCATGCACTATAAGAGGTCACCAATGGATTTTTCTCTCCCACATCCATGTTTCTTTTCTCTCTCTCCCCCTTTTTCTCTCTCCCTCCCTCTCTCTCCTCTTTCTCTCTCTCTCCCCCTCCCTCTAATATCAGTAAAATAACGTGTTGTTTATTTTTTTAAAAAGAACCAAGATAATTAACTTTGGGACTTGATTTACAAGAAAAAAAATGTATTGTGTTCCTTTTACTTCTAGTAAACATCAGTTTGTACCAAATGCACATATATGCTTAATACAGAAATGTGAATTTTTAAATATAACCAGAACAGCAACATATAAAACATTACCACTTCTTCAAATAACACACCTATTAGTAAAACTGCTAATTACAGGCCATACCAATTTAAGGTAAAAATCTGATATCAGGTTATGAAATAATGCCACAAAAAAATGAGGGTAATGGCCTAAATTAAATATTTGTAAAAAAGTACAAGTATTTTTTAAATCTACTAATTTTACCTCTCATTTATCTCTTTTTGACCTATCACATATGATCTACTCTCTGGCATTTTTACCATCACCCAACTCCTTACCCATCTTTCAAAGGTTGGCTTTTTAATCTCTCTTCTGAGAGATCTTATATAATGGCTTTTGTTGTGATCTGTAAAATGGCTCCTAAATTTCTCTTTCTCTCTAGATATGCATTAAGCAACTATCCATTTGCACATCTCTTCTTGATTTATCTTGAGCATTTCAAGAACAGAACTTAATTTCCTCTTTCCCTTGTATCCCCTATATCTCAAGAGAATTTCATCTCAGTACCAATACCCAACTAGAGGGTCTCTGAGTAAGTCCCCCAAAAAGTTACTTTTCTCAAATCTAGCCCTAGCTCACTCAAAATCACTCAGATGTATCTGTTCACAACCATGATTCTTCTAGAACTGTTTAAAACCCAAACTTACAAAAGTATTATGGCTTTCCACAACTTAGCTCCTGCTTTTGCTTTATTTTCCAGAACTTATACCAAGCATCTAGCTATCTGAGTCCTGGAATTCCATGAATCAAGATATTTCAGTTCTGTTAGCTACAGTACACCTGATCATTTTTAAAGCTCAAGATTCAAGCCAAGGTCCTTTACAAATTTTTCTGAATCACTCTTTCCTTTGCAATAATCCACCATTTCCTCCTTTGGAGAAAATCCACAATATATAATTAGAATGCCTGCTTCTCCCTTACTAGTTTCTAAGCCCAAAATGGAATTATTTCATATTTCTCTTCCCACCCTTCAGACCTAGCATAAATGTTATAAATTCTTAAATCAAAAGAGATGGATCTTTTAAACTGCTCTATACTGTAACAATAAAATGCCTTTCACTTTCCAGATTGTCAATTAAAACAACTCAAGCACAAATTTCTCCTCATAGGAATACAGGCAAACATTATGCATAATGTACTCTATAAAAATTTAGCATTTTTGGACTCTTGGTCATTCAAGTACCCCCAAAAAGAGGCAATTGGGAACTAATTTCTGAAACAATCATATTATCCATTCTCCAAACAAAATATCAACCTACTTCAGAATATAGCTCTATCCTCTAACTTAGCTGATGTGTCATGGAAATTCATTCAGGTTTATACAAATAATACATTCATAAAAGCGAAATGAAAGATACAATTCTGTAAATCCAGTACTATCTTCCTACTTCCTCTTTCTCTCTAGATATGCATTAAGCAACTATCCATTGCACATCTCTTCTTGATTTATCTTGGGCATTTCAAGAACAGAACTTAATCTCCTCTTTCCCTTGTATCCCCTATATCTCAAGAGAATTAATACATTCATAAAAAGTAACTAAAATAATTAGGTCTGCATAACTAATCTCTAAAACATGACTTCCCTGAGAGGCTATGACAAAAATGTATGCTTCTGTGGTAATAGTTCTGGTGTTTCCTTAAGTCTGTGTCTGTAATGCAGGACAGACCCTTCTCCTCCATGTCAAACTGCAGAAAATTTCCATCACTAAACTAGGGAATCTTTCATGAACCACCTCCTCTAGTTTCATTCCTTAGAAAACTACCTCAAGGAAGTAAAGCATCACAAGGAAGCATCAAATGAGTGTATATAGCAACTTCCCATAATGAGATTTCTCATCCTCCTTTTACTCCAAAGTCAAGTCTCCCTGAATCCTTAATTACATATAGAATTCTTCTCCTTGTCTTTCATTGAAACTGGATGTGATAATAAACAGTAAATTTTAATGAGAAGCTTCTACAAGTTTCACTGTCTTATAGACAGATAAACCATATTTAAGTTCTCTGAAATGGCTATCAAATCAGGTATAAATTTTAGATACCCTGATCAGCCCATTGGTGATGTCAATAAAGAACAGACAGGACTAAAGGAACCCACATTTTCAGTACTTCAAATCATCTGGGTAATGAATGAACTTTTATTTAAAAGTTCCCACATTATGGTGAAATCTTTTCATAGCAGTGAATATCTGTGTGCTTTCAAAATTAATGCAAACCAAATAAAGACATATCTAACACCCACCAAGAAGTACTTCTTGCTCTTTGGGGTATATTCTGGATCCCATTCCTCTTCCTTCGGTCTCTTTTGAAAAGTAGTATTTGAGTTGTTTGGACCAGTATTTGTCCCAGCAAAAACTCCTCTGGCTCTTCCTCTGCCTCTAATTCGAAACTGATTAACATTAACAAAATTGTTTAGTAATGCAATTAAAGGTATTTAAGTTACATGCAAACTCTTAATTTTACTGCAGTAACAAAAACTTATTTCCTAATTTCCTTCTTAAATTCCAACTCATAGCCACTGAGGATGGAAAAGATGGCCATTTTATATCATAGGCAAAAAACATTGCCCTCTGAAGTGAGGTTAAAAAGAAATGCACAAAAACTAAGTGTTCGAATACTGCACTCTCTCCATGACCTGATCTAATATTTTTAAATAAAAATAATCAAATTGGTTCTTTTCCCTTTGACTAGCCAAAAGAGTTATCTAATTCCTTTGAATTGTCACAGGAACCCCAAGTGTTCAACTATACCTATCATCAGTTAAGTAATCCTTTTCTTTTTCTCAATGATCTACTCAATGAACTCTAAAATATCCAAGTGGAACTCGATCAAGACAGGAATCTGAATCTGAAAATTGAAGAGTCAAAAAGAAAATGCACTACTAAGAAGTTATTAAAGTAATTAAAACATGAAGGTAATATGTATGCTATATAGAATAAAAAGTTATGGTTCCTAGAACTTGAACAGGGAAAAATCAAAATGAGAAAACATATGGATTTTTAAAAACGGGTCTCAACCTATTAATCTCCTTGACCTAGAAGCACTATGTATAGTTATTAATTCCAAAGTTAAGAAATGTATTTAGTTTATATTGATGCTTCTAAATCTCAAAATGGCATTTCTTTTAATCAGGCAAAAACATTTATCACTCTGTGTAAAAGAAGTATCATCCCACTCTGGACCCTCCTACCTTCCCCTAAATGGCATTTCTTAAATGAAGACATTTCAAATACAATTTCATTTTTCAAGACTAATTCTAACTGTATAAATAATGACTCATTACAATGTCCAACTCTTATAATTTAACTTTCCTATGTACAGTATTCTAAGGTAAAGTCTTATCAAATGATCAAGGATAATTTTATCACTTACAAAGGTTCCTCTTGGTCGACTAACTCCTGGAAAGCCCGAGTATTCTTTCAGTTCATGGTGAGTTTTAAATTCTTCTTCTCTTTCCTTCTTAGTCTCCTTTTCTTCTCTAGAACTAGGAGAAGAAGGTGATGCTGAAGAGGATGAAGATCGAGAATGATCTTGCTCTCTACTTTTATGTTTACTGAAAAATAAAGAAAACAAGAAAAATGTGCTATCTTTAAAAACGATGAAGAACCTGTTGAATCTTATAATAAGAGGGATAAAGGATATTTTTCAAGCCAAAAAACTATCCCCTATTACAATGATACATAACTGAAGTAATTGGGTGTTAAACTTTGACAGTCTGTTTCCATTCTCCTTCAATATTTGTTTTACATTACTACTGAAAATCATACTACCCTGTTTCCCTGAAAATAAGACAGTGTCTTATATTAATTTTTGCTCCCAAAGATGCGCTTGATCTCATTTTCAGAGGATGTCTTATTTTTCCATGTGCTAGGTCTTATTTTCGGGGAAACACGGTAGCAGTCCGGAAACTTCAAGTATGAGGTTCAGTTCTTCCATATTTTTAAACTTTTTTTGTTTTTGGTGTTATTTTAAGGAAAGGAAAAAGAAGAGTAGGAAAAGGCAAGTTTCAAAATGACTGCAGTTTGTATACCATGTGAGAATAGTTGGTATGGTTTGGGCCATTACTCCGTTATAGAAATAAAAAAACACATGACAGTACAATAAAAAACACAAGTAAAATCCACCATTTACCTAATTAATACCAAAAATAATAAATAAATAAATAAAAACGATTATCTATGATACTTAGTATTCCTATTATTTATTTGACACTATGGTGATCAATATTACATGATTCTAATACAACACCCAAAAAAGTCATACCTGCAATAACTCTTACCACTGCTAACAGTATCCATGGAAACATTACTTTGAAAGGATAATACACATTGCTATTTCATAAAAACTAATCCTTCCTCCCCCCTTCTCTCCCATGTTAAACCACTAGATATCAGTTTAAAATTCTTGTACTCTGGGTGTTATGAGTTGAAAAAGTGCGGAATCAAGCATAACGAACCAAAGTTCTTACACAAACTGTTTCTAGAAATGCACTGCATTGAAGTCCAACCTCCTGATGTAGCCTGGATAATAGGACACATTAATTTGTCATTTTTTTTTTCAGTGTTAGCTTGCTATTCCAAAGTTTTTGTCCTCATCCACCATAAGCCGAGTAAAAGACAAATACATTTTTGCTGTAAAACAAATAATTTTAATTGTTTAAATTTAAACATTCGATTACACAGTCAAAATTGAAAGCAATTAAGCTGACAATTATTAAAGGCTAATTGAAGCTAAAACCTAATTCAGACAGTTTTAACAATTACCTGTCATCTTTGTAAGATTTGTATTCCTTGTAATCTTTTGGAGTTTTTTCCTGCTTTCTTGATCCACTGGATTCCCTGGAGCCCTTGGAATCCCCTCGTTCTTTGCTTCTTTCTTTTCTCCGACGATCAATGTCATGCCGAAGATCAGCAGAATCACACCTTAATTTTTTATCTCCCTATAAAAGATAGATACAAAATAACTTTCAGGGGAGAGAAAGAAGAAAAAATATATTTATGTACATATTTAGCCAAATTTTATGCCAGTTTCTAAAGTGACATTTTAGGTCAGGAAAAAAATAAAGGATCATAAACTACTTCCATACTTAATTTTTGTTACAAAAAATGTAGTTGGTTCTTTTTACTAAATCATGTACACAAGAGCAACGAGACCAGAAAAATTATTAAAATCTAATTATCTTAAAAATATCCTAAATTCTTATGCAAAACAATCCATCAATTTTTATGCAATAAAATAATTATTTTTCCACTCAGCAATCCTCATTATTATCCTTCATCTTTCAAAATGGCATTTTTTTTAAGTACTTGAACATTGACAAAGGTTATAATCTAGTTGTGATGTAGCCATCTGCCTATAAAGTTAAGATATCCTAAAGTAATAGTTCTAATTACTTAAGCCTCAATATCATCAAGCTCTTTCCATAGATGACCAACCCAATAAAAACCACTTAAAGGATTCTGTAATTTCCATAACATGCAACTAGAATATGATTAATGAAACCAATTCAAGTTAAACAAGGGTAGAAACAAAGCCAGAAAGACATTATTCCCAATCCTGTACTCAGTATCTTGGGCCATATATTGCCCTTTCTCAATTCAGGTATTGCAACGGACATTAGTTTAACTGGGTCACAATTCACCTCCTTCTTGTTCCATTGCTTTTTCAAATACTATATAATTTAGGAAGATGGAAAGAGGAATCTAGGAATGAAGAAAAATTACACATCAGTAAGATGCTAATAATGTGGACATCCTTGCTAGTATTCAACAATAAGTAGTACTGGGAAGTCTAGCTAAAATATTCATAAGCATTCATAAACCTGAAAATATAAGTATATCTCCAAATAATATCAACTACTCACCTATTTGCTCCCAGGCTAACCAAGAAAAAAATCTAATCAAGAGCAAAAGTATCTAATCAAGAACAATACCTATTCACCTAGGTATTACCAAGCCCACAAGTACCAACCTAAAGGAAAGTGGAAATAGTTTGTAAACTCTAAACTATATATATATTACACATTAACATATATATAATTCATTCAGATAGGAAGATAAAAGATAAAAGGCAATGTCATATCCACTTGTCCATCCATCAGTAGTAACTATTTTTCCCCCTCCAGTTCAAAAACCGTTCGTAGTAACTAGAAAAGCAAAATACTCAGTGTCGGAAGCACAAGGATAGACTAAATTGTTGGCAAAACAAAACCAACACTGAATCCAAGGTATTAAAAGTAAAAGCCAAAATGGGTATTCACTTTTCAGAATTGGTTTTTCTAAGATTAATATAGCCCATGCAAAGAAACCCTTTCTAATCTCTACATTCCATATCTAGTAAGTCTAATTTAAAATTTATACACAACTAATTGGAAGCTTCTAGTAATAAAAGTGCAAATAATTCCATAATAGGCCCATTGTTCAACAACTTTCCAAAACAGATGTATTCTCATTTTTCTGAATGGAAAACCAATGCCCAAGAAGCTAAATGTTTTCCAAATATCAGACAGTATTTGGTGACAGCCAGAATTTCAACAAAGCAGTACTTCCAAGTCACCTAACCTTTTCATTACAACTGCTCCCTTTCTACTTTTCCCCAGGATATCTGAGCGCCCTCCCTAGCCCCACAAATAAATTTCATTCTCATAGAGCCCCATCAAGCCAGTTACTCAAGAGTTCTCTCTCAAGTTTAAAAACATTCACCCCCTCAAAAAACCCACAAATACTCTAATAGTGACACATAGTTTTTGTTCCAAATTTGTAAATCAGTTATTAGGATGATTATTTCTTAGTCCAGATAAAAAAAATGCTCAGTAGCCATGGTATTACTTTTGTGAAGAACCTACAGGTATTAATTTAGGCACACATAAACCAAGGAATATTTATTCCAGCTCATCCATTTCATAAAACTTTATAGAAACCCTAATATAATTTGTATCATTGCTTTTTAAATGTCCCTTAAACTGCCCATTGATTCTTTACCCTTTTCTTGGAAGTAATTTCTTCCTTTCATTAGCATTTTTTTAAATTACTCTTGACTTAGGGAGCATTTGAGATCTTGCTCTCCACATCTATCAACAGTTTGGCTCACATACATACATTCTCATAAACATTCACCAAAAAAATAAAATTCTACTCTTGGTTTCTTAAATAGTATACTGTCAGCCTAATTTCTTCTAGGAAGGGAATATTGTGTGTGTGTGTGTGTGTGTGTGTGTGTGTGTGTGTGTATAAACATTTTGCCTAGACAAACTATGCTTCATACAATATTAACAAAGCTAAATTTAACATTATAAAACTGTCCCTTCAAAACATACCTTTTGATTTTCTTCTTTGAAAACTCTCTCTTCCCCTGCTAAACGGGTATGCTTCCTCAGGGCACTTGGAGAGATGTCAATTCTCCTTAATATAAAATAAAGTCTATTTGTAGTCACATTAACTTAATGGCACAAAAAAATCCTTAGAATTTTTCATTTTGTGAAAGAAATACTGGAAAGATATTTCTCTCCCAATCGACTAATTTTTAGCATAGTAAAATTGTTAATCTAATTACTGACAATTAAGGAATAAAACTATTTCCTTTAAATATGTATTAAAATATCCTCAATGAAAGAAGTAATAGGATCATTTACTAGCATTTCTAAGTGTCCCCAGTATTTTTATTCAGTGCATCTTTAATTTTATTCTGCACCTTTCCTTGCCTTTTTAAGCTTGTGTCTGCCAGGTGCAACTTCTCAGCACTTCCTCAGCAATACCAAACACCACATTTACTATGTAATAACTACTATTATATATTTTATAGCCAATAATAACCAATTGTCACCACCCTGCAAAATAGGCAGTTATCCTTATTTCGTAGGTGGAAAAAAACTAATGTTCAGAGATTAAATAACTTGTTCAACTCAATTCAGTAAAGTGATAGAGCCAGGATTTGAACATTTACACTTATCTGACTTCAATGTTCATGCTCATTTCATGAAAAATAATTCTACTTCTCCACCAAGCATTTTTACTTTACAAACTTATTGGAATTAAATTAAAGGGTTACTCTAGACATCCAACCCCCTCCCCAAAAGCAAATGCGGTAACTATTTTAATTCCATACTGGGAATAAAAGAGTATTTTAAATCCTAACAACCAGCTTAAACCAAATAAACTGAAAATTAAGAATAAACGATAAATTACAAACTTTTCAAGACTGGAAATATATTCAAGGTATAAATGAGGAATAAAACCAACCAAAGTTCATTTGTATCATGATGATAACAGTTCCAATATAATCTAGTTTAAACTGTCTTCCTATCAAAATAGCATTTTTATATGCCTATTCAATTGTACACATACCTGTGTATCTCGGGGCTCTTTTGGCGGGTACTATGTTCTTCAGTGGCTTTCTGATAGGAAGTGAACCTCTCATTTAGGGTCATCGCAGGTGACTTGAAGTATTGCTCTGTTGATTTAGGAGAAATACTGCCCAATTAGTTATCTTACTTTAAGAGTGATATTCATTTGTGACAGAAGGGCATGTAGCAAGTGAAAAGAAAATAAAAATATTCAAGAAACGTAGCAGAAAGGAATCAAGTGTCACAAAAGTTCCTCCTACCCTGTCCCTTTTGTAACTCTTGTACCTCAAAAGAAAATTGATATAAAGTTCCTCGAAGGTCCCTGACAATACTACATATAATCCAAAAACAATAAATAGATTAAACTGAGTCTTTAATTCCATTTCAATAATGCACTATTTCATCAAACAGAACAAAAACAAAATGTAAATATCCTTATACCTTGCCAATTATGAACAAATGGAAGTTACTTCAAGTAATCATTTGTAGAACATAAAAATGACCTAAGTACATTGCTGGTTTTAGTAAACAAAACTATTTCATCGAAAACTATATTGACAACAAAATATGGATTTAAGAAAAAACTTAATACTGCTATTTAAATTAGAAAATATTTTTCAATTAACATTAATTATTCCAAAAATCTGGCATTTTGGCAAACCTGACAGCACATTTGATATTAATGCCTTGTCATTCTTTTAACAATTTTTAAATTAGTGATATCAATACTAATTTTTAAACTAGTTCATGGTATGTTGTAAATGTGAAATACGAAAGACGTGTAAGTCATGAAATGTTACATTACGAAGCAAGCTATCTGCTTAACAGGTCAACATACATCTGTGTCAACTTACCGCCCAATATCCAGCACATGTCTCATAACCAATTAAAACTTGAAACGGCCACTACAAGGGTAGTGCCTCAATCTTAATTCCATGAAACCCAGGAATTTGAGCTAGCAACTCAGTTTTTATGCCATTTTTGCCAGGAAGACAGAAGATTCAACTTTGCCTGTATCTTTCAACAGCTATTTTACTTTGAAACATGGATTTTGCCATTTCAAAACATATTCCAGGACCTAGTTACAATGAAAAAGAAAACATCACTGGGCATTTTCAGCTCTCAATTAAATAAGAGCTGTTTAGATCGGTTGCACAATACCAATAATAAAACATAACTACAGTTCTTAAAAAAAAAAAAAAAGAAAATGAAAAAGCAAAAAATTTTATCAAAACCTGATCTCAAAATTCAGCAATAAATTGTAAAATGTGGAGACAGGTCAAAAAAATGTAAAAAAAGAAAAATGTTAATGTTTCATTATTTATGTACCACAGTAATATGGTCATAAACTGTTTCACAAACCCAGTTATAGCCAAATAAAAGGATTTTGTTACCATGCTTAAGTAATTACAATAAAAATGAAATTCATTAATTATTCAGTTTTGAAATATTAGGTGCATAAAGAATTGCTAGTGATAAGTTTCAGCTATCACGAGTTGTTCTCGTGTCAAAAAACAAACTTTTTAAAAAAAATGGTTTTTAAGACCAATAGCCATGGTGATTCCTGAATAAGAACCTATTTCATGGCATGCTGCCTTTTTCAAGACAGAAACAAAACAAAACTTAGAACCTAACTGCCCCAAAACTCATACCCTAAAACTTTGAAAATAATTTTGAAACTACCCTGTTTCCCCAAAAATAAGACAGTGTCTTATATTAATTTTTTTCTCCCAAAGTTGCGCTAGGTCTTATTTTCAGGGGATGTCTTATCTTTCCATGCGCTAGGTCTTATTTTCAGAAGATGTCTTATTTTCGGGGAAATATGGTAGAATTCACATAGTGGTGTAAACAGCACATCAGAACTTTAGTTGAAATGATTACTTTTATCATCTTTAGTACCTAAAGAAATCTCACCATTATTCTAATTATTATTTATGTAATCATTACTAATCTACTTTTAAATTTCTTTAACTTGTTTACCTTTTAAAAATCCTAAAATGATCCTAGCCAAATCGCTCAGTGGTTAGAGCATTTGGCCCATGGACTGAAGGGCACAGGTTCTATTCTGGTCAAGAGCACGTACCTTGGTTGCAGGCTTGATCCCGGGCCCCAGTCGGAACATGTGCAGAAAGCAACCAATAAATCTCTCTCTCACATCAATGTTTCTCTTTGTCTCTCCGTATCCCTTCCACTCTCTCTAAAAATCAATGGGGAAAAAAAATAACTTCTGGTAAGGATTAAAAACTAAAAAATCCTAATATGCCCATGGCTCAGAAAAGAGATTCCTGGTAAAGGCACATGCCCAGATTGTGGGCTTGATACCCAGTAGGGAGGCATTTAGGAGGCAGCTGATCAATGTTTCTCACTGATGTTTCTTTCTATCACCCTCCCTTCCTCTCTTTCTAAAATCAGTAAAATATCTTTTTTAAAATCATAATAATTTTTTTCTGGTTTATCATAAAGAAAAGTTAAGTATTATAACAAAGTAATACTAAAACAAGATAGGACAATCCTGTTTTCCCAAAGTTTCAGGTTTTAAAAGTTGAAAGAATTCTTAATATTCAGTAACAATGCAGTTTTTGTTATAAACCTAAGCAAATACATTATGTCATACAAATACAGGTAATGGAAGGTAATCTGTAAGGATTCTGCATTTCAAATACAGTATAATATCACATTTCAGAAGAAAAAAAAAACTTTCAGCATTAACAAAATCTGCATCATGTTTTACCATGATATAAATTTTTAGGGTATATTTTAGCTCTTAACATTTCAATTAGTTTTTATTAAATATCTTCATGCTCGAAAGACTGAGAGCACTCTTCATGAAACACTCCTTTTTCCAAATTTTTAATGCTGTCAGTATTCTTGCTGTCCCTGGGCTACATTAATCATTAAGCATTGCTGTTCATTTCCTTCTATTTGCAGGAGAAATTCTATTCACAATACTAAGCGTACTAAACATACCTTTAACATGATGAACCAAGGACACAATGTGCTGAATAAATGACTCTGAAGTGCTCTTGCTGGCCTGAGGCAACTTAATGTGGTCAAAGATGGATCGGAATTCTTGCTCCTTCTTGACAGAATGGACAAGTGTACTAGCAAGTAGCCTGTCTTTAGTCAAGGAAGCAGGTCTGGAACATAATGGTACAAACACACACATATAAACAAAATATACCATTGGTTTGAATATGAAAATGAGAAACATTCAGAAAATTTAAAAAAATAAATGGAATATTAACCACCTCCCACATTTTAAAAGCCATTTTATTTACTGGGCATTAATGTGAAATTACCTGTTAGAGTCATCAAGAGGAACAGGGGCCATTTTGAGTTTGACTTCAGGACGATGAGAATCGCTGGCTATCATTTTAATCCTAAGTGGGCTCTCCTCTCTGAAGGTAGACTTTTCTCGTGTATCCAGATTCTTGTGTAGAGGGGGACTGTAATCAAAGAGGTCTTTGAGCTTTTCAGACTTTACCTGCTCAGGTGACTGAGTTTCTTTCTTTACTGTTCTCTCAGAATTTTTGTCATCTTCCTTGTGCTTATCTTTTGTAGTGCTAGGCCTTTCCACTACATATCCAGTCTCTTTAAGTTTATAATTTTTTTCTTCTCTAAATCCATCACTTTCTCTATTGCCTTTCAATGAAACTTTGGACTTGTACTTGTTTCCTTCCTCCTCAGTATTTCGGTGAGATGTAGTAGCAAAATTTTTACCCTGATCTGCAAGGACTGACTTCCTGAACTGTCTATAATCTTCTGTCTCCTCTGTGTCATCCCCTTCTGAATCATTAAACTTTTGTTTTCCAGATTCTTTATCACTGAAGTAATCTAGGGTTTCCTGATCTTCCCATTCTCCCTCTGCCCTTCCTTTCTCTGATCCTTTCTCCTTTGGAGCTTCTTTATCCCTGGTATTACCCCTATCAAGCAGGAATACTCTAGACTCTTCATCTGTGAACCTGTGAATAAGCAAAGAAGAGTATGGTAACTCTGGATTGCATTCACTGTGGATAACTTGCATACTTAAATGCACTGCCCAATAGCACAGGATCAGTAATGAGGGAAAAACCCTACTGAACGTGTTTCCAGATTCCACTTCTAAACATTAAAGGCACCCATATAACACTTAGGTACTGAGCTTTTAAATCAATTTATGTAACTTCCTCAATTTTAAAAAGCACAAGCCATTCTCAAAAACCTGTTTTTATTCAGCCACAGCCCACAAATCTGCACTACCATCCAAATTACCAGAGATCCTATAACCTACTGGTACATCACAACTTAAGTTTAACTTCTGAGGCTAAGAATCACTAGTAAATTATGTATTTACTCTACAACTGATTATACACAAAATTTCTCATTATTTCATTTAGCAACACTTGAAATTAGAATTCTAACCAAGTATCTGTTTCAAATATCAGTAGTCAATACCACCATCTTTTCTAAGGTCAGGCAGATTTATTAAAAATTGGCAGCTAGACTATACTACCACATAAGTTAAGTACATGAAATAGAATTGCATTATTTATATAAGTTACATTATAATGCTGAAGAGAATAAGATTTCAATGCTCTAACATAACAAATTTCTAAAAATTGTTTTTACATGTTAGTTATCAGTTATGCTTTACACTACTCATTTCTCGTTTACATTCTTAATTCTGAACTTACTAAAAATGGACTAAAAAAAGGAATATAAATTATTTTTATTAAAACACAAACTTTCAAAGTTGAAGAGATTTAAGTAAAATCAACCTGGAATTAACTTATAAAGGAATTCATGAGTAAAAATAGCTAAATACACATAGCAATGCAATTTTAATTCTCTTAAATACAAAGAATTCAAAAATTATTTTCATCAAAATTCTCTGCTTTTAGTTCTTACCTTTTTAAGAATTTTCCTGACTTTGCAGTTTCCTGATCTCCACCATCAGGATAAAATGAAGAACGTCCCCTAGCCTCATCTCTTGGAGCATTCTGTGGTGTGATTGTCTTTGCAGGGCTTCTTCGCGAAGGGATGTGATGAATTGGACTATTCTGAGAAGGACTGTATCGACTAGATCCATTTCCAACAGAACCTGACCCAGATCTTTCAGGACTATGCTGAATGGAATGTGAATGCTGAGAGGGGGTGTTTTTTGCAGAGTGGGCTGTACTGAGCATGGGCGCATCAGAGCAAGATGAACTCTGACTAGGTGGCGTAGCAATTGGTGAAGGACTATGGGGTGACCTAGGACTATTATCATAAGCTGAAAGGCCAGGCCAAATATCACCAGATGTGGCTGATGATTTATTAAACTCATCAATAGATTCAGATGGGTCATGCTCAAATGTATCTTTCGGTTCCTCCTGTGATTTATTTTTCAAAGGACTCTCTTCTTGGGGCTCCCCTTCCGATTTTTTGGTTTGTTTTTCCTGAGACCCTCGTCTTTTAGAGACAGGAGATTTGCTATATCGGGATGAAGAACGAGAAGAGGATGATCGTGGAGACCTAGAGGATCTATATGACCGGCGAGACCTGCTTCGGGATCTTTGAGAAGAAACGGATCTTCTTTTTGGACTTCTGGAACGTGAACGACCTCGTCTAGGACTTCTAGAGTGTCTTCTGTTCCAGACAGGTCTATAGCCACCTCGATGATATCTACCTCCTCCACCTTGATAATACCCTCTACCCCTTCCTCTGTACCCATAAGGTCGTCTCATTCCTCTATTATTTCTGTAATCTCGCCGATAATCTCTAGAATAAATACGATCTCTACTACGAGATCTTGAATACGTCCTGGAACGAGACCTAGAACTAAAAATGAAATAAATATCAATGCAAAGAAAAGAAACTATTCTGTCTTATTCTTCTAAATAGTCAGGTTGAATATAACATGCAAATCAATTGTCAAAGCTAAAAATGTACATTAAAAAACAACACATGTACACAAAAGTAAAAGTTTACTGTTTTTAATGAAAAAAGTATCATTTCTAAGATAAATATTGAGAGAATAAATTAAAGACCTTAGAAATGAAGGCACAGAAAATGGGGGTAAAGAGATATATTCAACAGAATATACTAACAAATTATAGTACATTTACTCAAGCACTTAATAGTGTAACAGAATTTTTAACAGCACAAAAAATATTTATCAATGAAATACTATTGGCCAAATGCATACATAATATAAAGTTAGGCTTAGAAAAATAATACAAAAAAAATCATAAATTAGTATTAATTCTTAATAACATTATGGTCACTTATTTTCAACCTATGGTTTCTATTTTCTATGCTAACTATGTATTACTATTTAAAGACAGACAACAAAAGTTAATCATTTTTAACAGAAGAGTGAACTTATGGATACCTTGAGTCAGAAACAGTAAGCAACTATGAAATCATAGATTTACTGCCAAATAATTTTTTGTTACTTTACCTAATTCATCTCAACACATAGATAAAAACAAGAAATCACCAGAGTGCACACAGCACAGTAAGAATCTGAGATATAGAGCCAGACTAGCTGGATTCTCATCTAACATCTGCCATTTATTGGCTTACAACTTGGACAATTTTCAATTTCTCTAACTGTAAAATGAGGGTAACAACAGGTCAATTTGACAAGATTCTTTGAGAATATATTAATAAATTGAGCACTATTTTATATAGTAAGCACTCCATAAATATTAGATGTATCATATCATTACTGACTTAACAAGGATAATAATTCACCTGTATCTCTTCTTTCTAGAGTGTGACCTTGATCTTGATCGAGAACTAGACTGTGATCTAGACTTTGATCTTGAAGAATGTGATCTAGAATTGGAGCGACCCATTTCTTTACTCCTAGTAAAATGAAAGACCAAAATAGGTTAAAAAAAAAAATCACAATAGCAAGTTTTACATTATTTAAATTATTTTCACAAATTTAATTTTACGAGAAACTTATATTCATCATTTTCAAATGAGTACTAAGCCAGTCAATTATTCCTAACTAAAAACTGTATTTTTCACTTGCATGAAAAGTATCCTATAATAAAATCCTAACGTGCAAATTATCCAAATGGGAGAATTGACTAGCGGAATGACTGGTTGTTATAATGCACACTGACCACCAGGGGGGCAGATGCTCAACATAGGAGGCAACCTGCAGAGGAAATGGAGGGAAAAGGGTTGTGGGTGGCACCAAGCCACCTGCCCACAATTTGGCCCTGATCACTGGCCAGGCCTAGGGACCCTACCCTATATATTGGGAATAGTGTCTAAGATTTAAAAATTGAAACCTGGCAAGGCTACTCAAACACTGCTTCAGTTTTTCCACCCATAAGATAGGGAAAATGGTTCTACTGCCTCAGAAGGGTCATGTTATGTACTACTTTTTATAATCAGGGGGGGAAAAATGTAGCTGCCCATACAATAGCAGGATGCCTTTCACCTGTATGGAAAGTATGGTCACTGGTGCAAGCAATATCCTGGATTTCGAGAGGGATGTCCAACTGCTGATTTAGGCCCAATCTCCACAGTCAGACATCCCCCAAGGGCACAGGCAAATTTTGTGCATCAGGCCTCTAGTTGTATTTATTGAAGACACAACAGAAAATTTCTATGGACTGCCCCACCTATGTGCCTCAATCCAAAAAGGTAGAAGTCAGAAAGAGCAGTAATACCATACTGCAGCAGTATGTTAGATATTACTAATCCATGCCCAATATGACTACCTCCCCCATAAAAAAAAGATCAGAGTATTACAGATAAGAAACCTGAGACAAAGAAAATACAAGTAGCATAATACTTTAGAAAAATAAACCTACCAGACTGTCATCACAATACTTTATGGCCTTGAAATGGAACTAAACTGACCACTTCATGTACACAATACTGACTGGAATGGTTGACAGTCTCCTAGTAGAAAAAAATCTCTGGAATTATGACTCTACTCTCAATATTTTTAACTGCAGAAAATGAACTTATATGACAATGCCTAATGTACTCTGTAGCTTTCTGGTAAGAAGATGAAAAATAATAAAAGATAAAGAAACTAGAGAGTGCTGCAAGAAAGAGAGATTGGAGCTATAAGGAAAAAAGAAATGGATTCTAACTTTTCCAAACCAGTATTCTAACTTTTCCAAACACTAAATTACTCAAAATTCATAATTCCTATAAGTGACTCACTAACTTCTAATAACCTGCAATTGCCATATATTTAAACCATTTCTCCTACCACCAAATATTTTTGAAGGCATTTATTTTACCTACCTTTAATTTGCTCAATATTATGAAATAGTATAAAAGCTGAATTATGTCTGCATACTTCATGAGAAAACATAAATGACAAATTCAAGGTTTCCAATAAATATTTATTTTACAATAAAACATAACTATCCTTATACAGACAAATATCACTTTGTCTTCTCATTCTTTATTCTAAGTAAGTAAGAAATACACAAAGACAGTATGCTCTTCAGATGTAGTGAGGACACGAAACACATTTAAAAGATTATGCATGCCCTAGCTGGTTTGACTCAGTGGATAGAGCATCAATCTGTAAACTGGAGGGTCCTGGGTTCCATTCAGTTCAAGGGCACATTGTCTGGTTTCGGACTTGATCCCCAGTAGGGGGGCGTGCTTTTCTCATCATGGATATGTCTGTCTCTGTCTCTCTCTGTCTCTCTCTGTCTCTCTCTCTCTCTGTGTGTGTGTTTGAAATCAATAAAAATGTAAATTTTTTAAAAGATTAGGCACAGTCATCAACTTTCATTACATTAGCACCAATATAAAAGGGAAAACACTAACTTATGGAACTCTCTTGTATATGTAAAAGAAGATTAATTAGACAAGATTATTTTGTCTTGCTTTACTTTTAAATAGCTTTGTGTGTTCTGAGTCTTTAAATAGATGTGTTTATAGAAATAGAAGCAGACACACAACTTAAGAAGCAGGAGATAAAAAGTATCTTTTTCTAAAACTAACTTAAATCTGGCTTACTCTGTACAAGCCACCAACACACACACACACACACACACACACACACACACACAGAGCTTCAGACCACATCAATTTTAATCATTCAGTCTGAATCATGAGTGTTGCAGTCACGTTTTCTCAAGCTAAACTGAAAACTAGAAAAATTAATGTTATATACCTTGGATTTTATGCAGGTTAGAGCAATCAAGTGAAGTCTTTGAGATACTGTAAAATTCTTCCTGAAGAAAATGTTCTCAGAGAGTAAACTCTAAATTCAAATTCCTGGCAAAAAAATAAAAAATATAAGTTTGATTTATGGTAAATTCAGTATACACAGTTTATAATGCCTCATACTCAGCATTACAATAATCTTAATAAAGGCACTAATGATTTCAGGGAAGGGAAAATAGACTTAGGAAATACAAGTTCTAACCATAAAAGCTTAAAGAACTTTTTTTTTGTTTTAATTGGAATGCAACAGTATATCATGAAACGGATAACGCCTTTACTTTTTAAATACTTGAATTCTAATTTCAGCAATATGGCTTTTACAAAACATCCTACCAGAAAATTCCAAAGAAGCTAACATAATGCCATCTTGACATATACATGTAGTTAGTATTCTTAATTGCTATAAATTTGTAAACTTCTCTAAAATGAGTCAGGGGAGATATTAAGAGACCTGAGAATCAAGCTAGGAAGGAGGAAAAGAAATCTAATGATTGAGGGAAACATACTAAAGTAAAAAGTAGTATAAATAAGTAAATAGCCAGAAACAGAAACAAGGGATTTCTAAAGTGCATGCATACTTCTAGTTTTAAAAATATTAAGTCCCTCAAGCGGGTAGAGAAAAACTAATCTAAATTAGTGTGTTATGAAACTTTATTCTGACCTAGAAGTCCAATACTACTGAGATTTACTGCTGGAAGTGATACAAGGTGCATTTTACTTAACAAATCTAAAAGGCTAATTTTAATTTCTATATATCCAGACAAGAAACAACAGCCAAGTCTCTACTGTCATGATTTTTGAAATTGTAAGAAAATGTATATTAAAATAGCAACATGAAGGGGAGAGAGGCTGTAGGCTGTTAAGACTAGTGTGTGTGTGTGTGTGTGTGTGTATTATTGTGCACAATCTATAAATATATTCAACTATCCATATGAAGAGTTCAATGATAATATTTTAAAAACGGCATATAATGTTTTATAATCTTTAATATAAAGTATAATTTTTACATTTTACATTAATCATATCTAACAAAGTCAAAACAAAGACTCTAATCAACTCAGCTAATTTTTTAAAATGCAAATCTATGTACAAAGCACTGTGCTAAGTATTATGGATATGTGGCTATGTAAGAGATCCCTGCACTCCAAAAACCAACTAGGAGGAAAAGAAATAAATCATAGCAAACTAAGTATCTAAAAACCAACCATGTGCCAAGAACTGTGCTTACTTTTAAATCACCTCATTTAATCTTCACAATCTCATAAGCTACATATAACTCATCTTTCAAATGAAAAGAACTCCACTCTTTCATAATTTCTGAATTTATAAGGTTCCTATGCCATGCACTATTCTAGAGTTAGAAATACAATACTTTAAGTGAGACATCTTGGACCTTTTGATTCCCTATCCACTTCTTTATTAATCATTGCATACTACACAGAATTCACTAGTGTTAAACTAATAATTTTGAATGATGTTTCTGTAAACTCCCAATCCAAAGCTCTATGTAGAACTGAAACACTTTATTTCTACAAGTCTTCTCAGACAACTAGTACAACTAGCTATGCACATGTCAGTCAATAAACTAGAATTGAGCCTATCAATTGATAAGTTTCTATAATTCTGTTTCCCAAGTCCTAAAATACTATTCTTCTACATGAAGAATCAGCTCTAATTAAATCTCCTTTGCCACCATTTTAGTTATCTTAAGGGGAATTCCAGTGTTTACCATACGTAACACGGAACACATGGCATCCTTAAAACAAGATGCTGTAAGCCATCAGTAAACACTTTAAATTGGTTCGCTAAGAGTTATTTTACACACACAATCCTTCCCATCAAATTATGTATCCTCAATTGTCTAGGATTACATAAAAACGCAAATAAATTTGTAGCTGTTTTTCCTAAGGAAAGGTTCATATCTAAACAGCAGCGCAAACCATTCCGAGTAGACTACAATTGGAAAGAGAATTCACATGAGGAATAATTCCTCACAAAATTGAAAAGGCGCTGCTGAGATTTGCCAGTACTGCTGCTTGCTTCTGATGAGATAGATCTTAAAAAAAAAAAAAAAAAAAAAAGCCCACTTAATGGACTTTATTTAAACGAGGGCAAAGTCACTAGCCTCAACTCACCATCCCACCACCCATTCATTCACTCCACCAACTACCCATATCATGGCTGCAACATTTCGGACACAATCCAATGGGCTGAATCCTTTGCTAAAAGGTCATGGCTTCACTCGTACCGCTGGTCAACTAACTGCCCTTTCAGCCCGGAAGTCGTATGACCACGCTGAGACGGATCGACCGAGGCCCGCCGCTCCCCATGCTCGGTAAGTCAGTAACCAGGCACCAACTCCCACAGTCAACAGTGCACGGTTCCTCCAAGACAGAGCGGGTTGCCAAGGGGATCCGAGAAGATGCACCACGGAGGAAGTTTTCCCGAAACACCAAGGGCCCGAGGTGGAAGCGGGATTCAGTTCCGAGAGACGGAACAGCATTCCACACACACAATGAAGATAACAAAAATGGGGCGTAAACCGAGGGACCGGGGTTTAAAGACGAAGCGGGGTGCCTCCCGCCCAGTGCACTTCGCTGCAGATCGTAATCACTTCGCCAAAAACCCTAAAGGCCCAGAA